CCTGTTGCAGTAAGTCGCCAACGTCAACCTATGATGTCTACGGTCTACCTGCTAATGTGTACATTCCCTCTCTAGACTACTTCACCCCTCATGTCGCCAACATGTTGCTAACTGCTTGCCGTCACGTCACCTCCACCACCAGTCAACGAAGGGGGCACATGGGAGAGAGTATCATGATAGCAGGGAAGGGAGCCATTGGGGGGTAAGCAATAGCATATAACTCTCCAGTAGTAGTAGTAAGTAGTATTGATCGATCGTATATGAATTATCCCCCTCATTGTTACTGAGTAAAAAATATCATAAATCTTTCTAAACTATATGGTTGGATTGAGGTGGGGATTTAAATGGGATTTTCAGGTGGTTGAATACATTGTGGCCATACTATAATACATACCCCCTCTACATAACCACCCACAAGGATGATAGCCAGGATGGTCAGCTGGGAATGGGCTGGACCTGACACGTCTATTCCAGCTAGCCTGGAACCAGACCCCTATTAGTTCGATTTTGAGCTGGTGGCCAGCATCCGTCACACTGGTGACAATGTGGGAAAATATAGTGGACAGGCCGCGTGCTCTAGGTTGCTTCCACATCTGGCCCAAATAGTGGTGTAGTTGCCAGTTTGATAGTCTTGCATGAATCGCCATCTTCTGGCTCACCTTGAATGAAAATGCACCTGCCACAATTCCAAGCGGCACTGCATGAGAAGTTGATTCTAGTATGTTAAGGTTAAGCTTACAAGGCATCGTCAACAAGGATGTTTAAACTAGATAGAATGAAAAACGACAGTACGAGAGGTATCAAGTAAACACAAATTATGAATGGTGATTGACGGTGAGAGTGCCTATTAGTATCCAAGTTGTTTGTTTGGTATCAAGCAGCGTCACGTGAGCGCGCCAGTAGCCTATCAATGAAAAAGGTCATCTGGACTGCGCAATAGTTCTACGATGGCATGAAATGTGAGGTATACCCTACGAAACGCCTAAAGGATTCTTGACAGTATGACCATAGCCGTATACTTACTATTACCAAACCCTGAAATTAAAAGGAATTCCAAACAACATCTGAGAGATTGATGAATTTTGGAGGCGAGGTGATATGCACAAAGTAATGTGTGTAGAAAAAACTAAGGAGGACCGAAAGAACGACGAAGATGTTTTTTGATAACAAGAATGTCCATGCCGCTCAACTTAGACTTCCCACTATTGGATACAAGCTTCAAAAAAGCCAGAATATCGTCGTCTTCCCAGGTATTGGCTTCTAAGAGGAATTCTTCATTTTTGCAGCCGAAACTGATGAAGTTGGGCAAAAATGGGACATGTCAGGGGTAGCGTTTTGCAGAAATAATGCGACTTCAGCTGTTGCCCTTTCTACATCTGATGACACGTCTGGAGGGGATCGCCGTTTTCGGCCCACTGAGTTCAAACGATTTGCATATACCCTTTTCTTGTTCTTCTATTCATGTTAGCAATCACAAAGTGATACAATGTAGTCAATACCTACCTTGGATGAATGAACAACACATTTCACCGGTGCGTCCATACTATCTCGACGCAACTTCTGATATCTATTGTTGCCGAAAATTTTGGACATGTACATGTGAGCCAATTCCTTTCAAAGAGCAACGTTGACATCCGCTTCGTCGTATAACATGGGATATAAAATGGCTAGCTGACAACGAAGGCATGTGATCACATGCAATGGGGATCCTCAGAGTCGACCGC